ACGTATGAGGGTCCAGCAAGTCTATTCTCAGAAAATATCGATATAATCTGTCAGCTTCTTGTCCATATGATTTGATTATATTGGTGAAGGCTTGTGCAGAACTAACCACTTTTTTCGGAAGAACCGAATACAGAGAATTGTTGCTCATAGTGTCTTTCCTCAGGATTTGAATTCAGATTGGCCCTCTTGTAGACTGTGGCTGTCAACCAAGGCTATATATATATATATATATATATATATATATATATGAAGAAATATATTTTAAGGTGTGCTATATTTATGGGATAAAGTGCTCGAAAATCAGAAATAGAGCGTATGTAAATATAAATATAAATGCGAGTATTGAAGTCATGCTAGACACAATCGTCAGGCCGCCTGACGATTGCGTCTAGCATGAAACAGCCTGTCGCTTCTAAGTGTTGACTTGAATGTTCACTTTTTTATATATATATATATATATATATATATATTAATAAAATTAATTATGAATACTGCACAAATGTTTTAAAATATATACAGTATTTAGTTTAAAGTATCGAAGTTTGTCCTAATAGTACTTAATACTTACTCTCGACGCCTCATAACTTAGTTACCTTTTCCGAAACGATACTGCGCTAAAAGTTCTAAACTCAGCGTTCTTCACTTCGCCAGGAAAAGTTTTAACTTTCAGATCAACACAGCAATTTTGTCTTTGAAAATAACGAACACTACTATATTTGTCTTGAAAAAAACAAAAAACACTGATGATGACATTTTGCTAATGTCGAAAGTACTTGGAATAAATAACATGTATCAACACGGTAATTTTTTTCTCTCTTCGTTTAATAATGACACCAAAAAGCTTGTCCGTGAATATGAAAGGATCCAGTTGAAAATAAGTTGACAAAACTTGTCTAAATTATTCAATGAATCTTTTTAGTTTAGTTATCTTCTAGATTTTACCACTGAAACCCGGACAATAATGCATTACACACCAAGCACTTGGGTTGGTAGTTTCATCGTCTTAATCATACTCTCAATGTTACCATCACCGGTTTGTAATTTTTATTAATTTTTCTCCCTATATTTGGCTATCTTATTATCACGTCCTTATTTGAACATTTGTTTTACGTAACCATATTACATACGTTTATTTTACGTTTATATCTCTTCGTGTAAAATCCTTTCAACATGTGTCCACATCATCATCGTCACGGCTTGGCTTCGCAACACAAGATTAAGAAGAAGTAAACTCATGTCGCTTGCAGACGGGTTTGTGGCCTGATAATGCCAATAAGGGACAGGCATACACGATCGCAGCAGTTGCAACTGAAGGTCAGGCCTGGGCTTGATGGCAGAGCGTTGCAATACTTCTTCCTCTGCCTCTTGTCCTTGCAGATATTTTCGAAGGAAGAGACGTCATGGTTGGTGGCCAGAAGCAAGGCGTTCAAGTTATCAGCTCGGGTAGACCATTGGCAATGGTCTGTACGACAGGCAATAAACGATTCTTCAGGCAATCTTTGAATATATGTCCACATACACTATTGCAAAATGTAACCATCTTCTATTCCCTTTTCACGTAAACTCAACGCAATATTCTTGTAAACGAAGTATTCGCTATCTTCCTTTAAGCATTTAGACAAATGGTGTTAGTTTTATGTTCAAGCTTCCAGCTGTCTTTCTTACTTCGTTTTTCCCTTATTTGTTTGTATTTTTAGACTAACTAGTCTTAAGGTAGAATAATGGATAGCGGCTCGGATAGAGGATTCGGAGAGCCGAGTTCGAATTCCTGCCGAATCCATTACTTTCAGTTATGTGCTCATACTCTTGGGAAGGTATGAATCGTCTTCTTCTCCCCCCAGCTATGGGTAAATACTAGAACAGACAGACCTTAGATGGCAAATGGTCTGACGCAGAAAGAAATGGCAACCTACTGCGGGAAAAATCTGCCTTGTCAGTCATGTATCGAAAGATACATGATCGCCTAAGTGTGTATCACGCATGACACATAACTGAACTGAGTCTTATTCATATGTATTTATTTTCCTTTTCTAGGTTTTACCCTTTTGGTTATTAATAAACCTGCCAATGTACGGAACTTCCTCAGAGTTTTAATTACCTTAAGGCATTTATCAGGTTGTCTTCCAGATTATTCATGCATACGACACGTACGTATATATATATATATATATATATATATATATATATATATATATATATATATATATGTAAGCAAATATATGGATATAGATCCGACAGTGTGAAGAAAAACGTACTGAAAAAACAAACAAAAATCCTAATATGCGATTATGCTGTTTTAATGTTTAATGTCAACGTCGGACGTTTTGGTCTAATAGACCACGTGACGACGACGTGGTCATATTTAAACGGAACGCTGATCTTATAAAAGATTTCAGTTATCTGTTTGGATTGGTATTGATTTTATGTCCATCGTCTTTTTCATGTTGAATTGTATATGGTCTATGTTAATTATGTTTTATGAATATGTCCTGAAGATGGTCTATTAGACCGAAACGTCCGACGTTGACATTAAACATTAAAACAGCATAATCGCATACTAGGATTTTTGTTGTTTTTTTTTTCAGTATATTTTCTTCATATATTTATATATATATATATATATATATATTGTTATGGTCCGGTTCCTTGTGCCACGGTGATAGTCCAAGGTAGAACCAATAAAGAAGAACTCGAACACGTATATGGAATAACACAGATATATTACAAACAGGAATATATGCAGAGAAGTAGAAGTGTTAGTATGAACAATCAGATTTAGTAGAGAGAACAATGTAGTCTCGCCCAGTATCACTATTCCAATGTCTTGTAGTAATTGTCTGAACTCGACTCTGTTTCGGAATGCCTCTGACTCGACTCGAACTACTCCTGAGACGCAGTATTTATTAAGTATGGAATAGTCCATTATTATTATTATTATTATGGGTAAGATCCCATATATATATATATATATATATATATATATATATATATATATATATATATATATATATATATAAGTTTCATTAAAAATGACTGGCAAGGTTACCGAAGCGGTCACTCTTCTTATTCTTCTCAAGGCTCGACGTTGCTTAACTTCGGTTATCGTACAGAGACCGGTGTTTTAACCAGATGTAGCCATAAGCTTTATTAAGAACCAGGAACATAGGAAAAATAAACGTATCTCTATAATATATATATAGACGACGGTATTTTTTATAACCAGATCACATTAAATCCAGACAATCAATTCTTTCGTTTACATATAAATGGGTGATTTGATTTAATAAAAATAGTTTCCAGGACCTTTGCATGGATTGTTGAATGCGATCTGCTCAAAACAAAGTAAATGTCCTCGGGGAAACATATACGAGATTATAGTGAAATTCCCAGATCAATTCTGTGGACAAGAAAAAAAAATCCCTTACTATAAAGGTAATTTACATTAACCAGAAAAAAAGGCTTAGACAGAAGCGTCTATCTTTTTAAATTTGGATTTTTGTAATGTAACTATAGCAACAAAAACATTTCGATTTCATTTTTACCTTGAAAAAGTCGGAAGACGAGACGCGTCGACAAAATCTAAGATTTTTTTTTTCGAATTGTCATTTTATACCATACGGCATATTCTCGATATTTTAAGAAATGTTCTGCGGTTGTAAACACAGATGACACGGTAAATCATTGTATTAGGTTGGTGCAAAAATAATGACGTAATAATGTCGTTTTTGACGTAATTTTTAACGTCAAAAAACGACATTATTACGTCATTATTTTTGCACCAACGTAATAGAATAGGACAGGTGGCAGTATTATACGGAGAGACATTCGTAAGAACAACACCGGTAATCCATTCGTGAAATAGACTAACCCGGCCTCGTGCGAGTTGTAAATATAACAACGTAAATATAAACAAAGCGGGAAGCCTGGAGAGATGGACAGATTGCAGCTCTCATTCAAGCATTCTACAATTACCTATTCTTTCTAATAAACTCATGTTCAGTATTTGTTTTCTGATTTCAATCTATCATTTTTTTTCACATATTCCCCCTTTCAATAACGACTGGTTACTTTTGTTTTCCGAGCACACCCATCCTCTATAGCCCTGTTACATGCACTTGCTCGGGTACATTTGTGTTTGTTCAACACCCATAGAGTATACCTGTGCATCATAAATAAACTATACTGGGCAGACAGTTTTGGTGAGAAAACGCATAATCTGACATGATCAGAAGTTTGAACAACATTTAGCACCTTCAGGCTTCCATCTAAAAATAACATTCCAAGAGAGTGACCCGTTACACTTTATCAGGCTAATATAATCCGCTGACATGAACTGGATAGATTCACTGAAGAGCAAATGCTTTGGTGGTGATGAAGAAGTGAAAACAGCTCTAAGGAATTGACTATATCTGCCGCTAGCTGAGTTTTACGAAGCTTGGTTGGTAGGTTGGTTAATTTTGTTCAGCAGCATATCAAACTCTATGGTTTATTTAATGCTGAAATCTAAATATTTTGTACGCAATTTTATTTCATTTTTGGAGATAATAATGTTTTTAGTGATGTAAGTCTTACTAATTAACCCATATCTAGGGTATGAAATAAATATAAAGAACCCAACTAGAATTAAAACACTTCCGAGTCATTATACATTACATCACCTGCACATCGGAGCTTATAGCACTTGTCGTTCTCAAGCAGTCACCCATCTAGGTACGACGTTGCTTAACTTCGATGATCGTACGGTATTTCCACGTGATGTGGCCGTAAGCGACGAAGCTGGGATACATGACCTCATTCATAGGTGGAACATTGCCGTTGAAGGAGGTGGTAATTATGTTGAGAAGTAGGGATGTGAACCTATGATGTATAGCTGTATCTAAATGTAAAATATGATTGTGTTCTTTATTTCTTAGGTAATAAAAAATGCATTACTTTTTTTTACCCTCCCTCATATAAGCAACAATAACTGTGTTCTCTCTTTTTTTATTTCTTTGTTACAGGTTGTAAGGCGTACGCATACACAGTGTCAGTGATGAGCATCTTATCTATCAGTACCTTGACATTAATAGCAATAGACAGGTAAGCAACATTATTCTCTGTTGATGAGCACAGACGACACTCACAGTGTTTGTTTGTTAATGATCAAAACAGGCACATAAGGTACAATATTGATTCTGTTCTTAAAAATAAATTTCTTGAGTTAAATTTTCAGTGTTGAAATTCATGGGTAAACAACCTGAAAAAATATTCTGAAAAACATTCTTCATACTCTGACAAGTCATTTTTTATCACTTCACCCCAAGTAAGGCAATAAAGCCACTAAGACACAAAGTATTACTGATTGTAAGAGAATATGGGAAAAAGTGTTGTAGCATACCTACGGATCATAATAATTCACATAAATACAGTAGTAAATACTGTATGTAGGTCTGCAGTCGCAGATTCGTTTCCAACTGTACTGGTCAAACGATCTGCCTCCGGGCAGAGAGGATCCCTAGACGAGGCTATGACGAAGGGCAGAGCCTCGTTCTCGGGAAACAGCTGCTATCCGGCCCCGTTTTATACGGTGTCTACGAGGAATTTTTGGCCGAGCCTACGGTCTCGGATACCCCCCATTAAATTCGGCCTTGTGCCACATCTGACCACGTGGAGATACCCAACAGTTGGAGATTCATTGTGGAATTCACTTGACTCACTTCTAGCAGTTGACTACTTCTGGCGAATCTTGTATGTGCTTTTCGTGTCCTAAGTATTATCGTTTATTACCAACCTTTGATTGATTATTCTATTTAGTAACCTTTCCTAGGTTACAACAAAAAGAAACCATTATTAGGGAGAGAGAACAATAACAGAGCAGGACTTAGTAGGATAGAAGATAACGATTGACATTGCATTTAATTTTTTTCAAGATCAAAGTTAACGGGTAAACAAAAAGTAGAAAGATAGTTCCACGAGGAAGAAGTGCCAGAGAAGAAACTTAACTTTAAATAGGTTCTATACTTCTAAACTCTATTTATTCAATAGGAGTAGATAGGTTCGTCTATCGTCCGGTTCAGATCCTCCGCTGTCCTTTGAGCAGGAGTAAATTTTTTTATCCCTATTTTACACTCTTTCGCTGTCTTTTGAGCAGTATTAGAGTTTTACCCATTGTTTCCGATTTAGGATTGGGTTTCCGGTTCCTCTTTATGTCTACTTCAACTCTATACTTCTAAGTTCTGTTTACTATTTTTTTTTCTCAGTAATTGCAGATAGCTTCATCTACCGTTGGGTTCCCACTTCTCTCCGGGTTTTGAGCAGGAGTACAGTTTTGCCCCTTGTTTCTTGTTTAGGATTGAGTTTTCAGTTCCTTATAAAGTCTTTTCCATCCACTTTCACTCGCAGTAGCCCCTTAGTGCTATTGTACCTTTGTTTCGGATGAACTGATTTAAAAAAAAAAAAGCTTATTCATATAATATATTTTTGTGTTTTCAGACAGGTAATCATGTAAAAAGCTGAAGTTGCTTGTTTGAAAGATTGATAAACTCGAACTGAACCATTTATTTCGTCCACCGAAGTAGACTGTTCTAACTCCACGTGCCATGCCTCTTCTAGATGTCTCAGTTGTCTCCCTTTAACTCAGCTCTCCAAGTTTTGTTCACCACTGCAGTAGCCAGGCATTGAACTCACAACTATTTAGGCCAAATCACTGGATCCATCCAACGCTTTTAGCCACTGGGCCAAGTGACCTGGATGACTAAATAAAGGGTTCAGTTCGAAATTCCAATCACCTAAAAAAGGCCGGAGTGTACAACGGCCGAAATGTCGTGAATATGGCAATAAAGATGAAGACAACTCCGATTAATGTAAATAATATAAATAGTTACATTGGTTTTCTTAATTTCTGTTTTTTTTCTCGTGTCATAGTAATGTATTTTTTTATTTGCTTGTATTCTTTCACACTCAATAACCCCTCAGTGGCTTTGTTGCTTTGCTTGTTTATAAGCCATACTCTTTAGAGATTTTTGTACTTCGATGTAGAGTAATGGTTAACAAGCATATCTTACTATATCAGCTACGACTGAATAGTGAGTTCAATCCTCACTGAGTGTTTAAAACTTTCGGCCTTGTGCCACATCTAAGCTTAGAACATTATTTGATCACCTCGACTTAGAGTAATGGTTAGTAAGCTTTTCTCGTTCGAACAGTTACGACTTAGTAGTGAGTTCGATCCTCGCTGGGAGCCTAATGCTTTTGGCCTTAGAAAATCACCGTGCACTTTAGAGATAATTTTTATGAAATTATTGGAATGTCTGGCCAAAGAGAATATTACATTACTATTATTATGTTTGCAGATTGTAAATTTTAGACTCTTCAGAAATAATTTTCTGAAATTATTGGGACCGCTGGGATATTGCAAAAAATAAAGTTGTAAGATTAACATAATTATTATACGTTATTAGTCTGAAATATTGTAAGAATTAGATTTTTTTGCAATATCAACATACACCTTATAGCTAACGGTTTTTAAAGAAATTATAAGAATCACTGAACAAACAAAATATTCTAAGCAGATACTGTCGAGTAATGGATATTGGCTTGGATTGAGGAATCAGAGAGCCGAGTTCGAATTCCAGTCGAATCTATTGCATTCACTTACTTGCTAATACCCTTGGGAAAGGTATGAATCCTCTTCTTCTCCCCCCACCCCAGCTTTAGGTAAATAGCAGGACAGACCTGTTTCTAACTGGTAACTGGTCTACCGCAGAAAGAAATGGCAACCCATTGCAGGAAAAAAAACTGCCACGTCATTCATGTAACGAAAGATACATGATCACCGAAGCGTGTATCACACATGGCACATAACTGATTGACTTTTTTTTTATTATAAATTTGACCTGGAATTTATACATACCCTGTATGAATTCGTTGTGGTTGTTGACTAAACCTGAAATATTTAAGAAGCTAATATTTTTTGTCAGATTGGCGTACACTTTAGAGATTACTTTCCCGAGACTATTGCAACCGCTGAACAAACGGGGAATGTCGTGAGATGCTAATTCTTTTCTTGGAAAACGGACATACATTTTAGAGATTATTTGCATGGAATTATTTGAACCGCTGTCCAAACAGGGAATATTGTAAGACGTTAAACACGTTATAGTCTAAAGTTATAATTCTGAAAAATTCCTCGCCTGTGGAAAAGTTTTAAATTTCATTTGCAACCACGTTTACTGCACCACATATGGAAAACCGGTATTCTTCACAATGGTGCAATAAAAGTTGCTTCCAGATTCAGTAACTGCTAATAAAATATTCGACGTAAAAATGACATATATTCTGTTGTTAGCTAGGGCAAGAAACGACTTATTAATTTTAATGACACCGACATTAAACTACTCTCTATCAATCATCCGAGAGAACTCATTGCGCATGTCATCAGTATGGCTGATCGTAACTTCCAGGAGTTTAACTGATTGCGACTTCTCGGGCCAATGTTTTCCGTTGAGATGAGTGGAAAGATTATATTGAATCAATTGCTAGGGTCTACTGCTTGGAAAGTTGGTTCACTGTGTCGTGCTACACAATTTTTCTCACTCGAATCTATCCTATACATATATATATATATATATATATATATATATATATATATGACTCTACCATTCGTTAATGTTTCGAATATTGCTATCACATATGGTCCGGTGATCCTGCTGTATATTTAGATATCCGTTATAAAATCTAAAGAAGAATCTGCAATGTTATCGGTCCTAGCCTGGCATCTTGGCTTCAGTTACTTTCTCACCTCCGTAACGTAGCGTCCCTGTGCCTTTTCTATAAACAATTGCGTAGTAATTATTCTAACTTTCATTTATGGTACCTAGACTAACCAAATTTAAGCGCAGTACTAGATTGGCAGCAAGGTCTCATTATTTTACTGTTGAAATGTCTAGATGTAACCGTAAGTTCTATGCTAACAGTTTCTTCTCTCGTACTTCTCGCTTGCGGAACACTCTTCTGGTTTTTACTTTCCAGTTAAATTTGATCTTCAAAATTTTAAATGCAATGTCGATCGTTATCTTCTGTCTGGTTAAATTATGCTATTTTATTGTTCTTGTGCCTTAATAATTTTTTTTTCATATTCTTTCCCATTTGCGTCTTAGTTACTTTGTTGCCTTACTTAGGGTAAAGGGATTTTTTAAAAAAAAGAAAAAATAGGAGTTTTTCTCTAGCAGATTACATTGGGTTTTCAAAAGTTGTTTTGGATCTAGCCACAATTTTCTTAGGAATCTCCCAAGAAATTATTTTATCTTTTATCGTTATTACCCAGTATGCGAAGCACGACAGGGAAAGATAAGTTTTAAAACGCTGACTGATGTTGTTTTGTCTAACGTCATGTGTAACCTATTTTCCTTCAGGGTTGCCCTAAGGCTTGAAAACGGCATTGTAATTGGCTGAATTCAGAAGTAATATAAAACTGAGTTAATTCCAAAGACTGATAGAATTTCATTGTACAAAAGGTGGCACCACGAAGTTTTGCGTCGACATTATTAGTGTTATTCCGTTACGGAAACAAAACATGAACCCGAAACCGCAGGCATATCAAGTAATTGAAAAAGTTTCAGATGCGGGCTCTTCCTTTTTTATTTGGAAGCCCATTAACGGATCGCATCAACAACCTTTGAAATTTTTGGACCATGCAGACTCGACCAGCATCGAATCAATGCTCATCCAGGCGAAAGTCCAGTGGATTGGCCATCTGATCAGCATTCTGCGGTATCGTATTCACAGGCACCTGTTGTATGTAGAGCTGCAATGTGACAAAAGACATCAAGGACAACCAAACGCTGAACAGACGCAATCGAAACTCACCTCGACTAGTACAAAAAAAGGAGCAAGAGAAAGCTGATGTTTACCGATCGCGTTTGCGTGCCATTGTCCACCCAGCATCTCCAATCTTCGAAGAAGCTCGGAATCAAAAACCCAATACTCAAAGAATGCTACTTTGCTAAGTGATCACAACCAGCAGTTTCCAGTCTGACCTTTGCTCTAGACTCTGCACGTCCAAACTTGATCAGCTACCTCTGGATCCATTGATGATCTGA